ACAGACAGACAGGCATACAGACAGACAGAGAGAGAGGGGGGGAGAGATAAGACTCGAAAGACTGAGACGCGAAGGCTAGGAAGGGAGGCGATAAGGTGGTTCATACGCATGAGGCGTACTTGTGACTGGTTTTGGAGGATGACGAAGCGCCGCTGGCCAAAATGACGCCTACCGAAGGCTCGACGAACAGGCCAGGCTGGGCCTGATCCGGCCTGAGGAGGGCCTGGTGCGTGGCTGGCGCGGGCGGCATTGAGTAGGCGGTCATCGAGGCGGGCGGATAGGCGGGATAGTCGGGGCCGGAGGCTGACGTGGTGCTTGGTGGGCCGGACAGACAGACAAACTCCTTCAGGCCCGACGAGCCTGACAGCGGCTGAGCTTCGTCAGGCAGAAAAAGCGGGTGCGTCAGCCTCGCGCCGGCCAGCCCGTCGGTGGCCTGGCCTGCCGACTCGACTGCCAACTCGCTGAGATGCGGCGCCGCGGCGGTGGCCAGATTGGCCGGACCCAATGAATAGCCGCCCGAGCTGTAGAGATGCGACGGCGGTCCGCTCAAACTGCTCGGCCCGTTGGCAGTGGACACCATCTGCACGTGACTCGGCATCGTGCCGCTGGCCGAGTTCACCGCCGAGCCCGAGCCGGCCGAGCTGATGTTGGCTCCGACCTGGCCGGCCGCCATCTGCTGCGCCCCACTCGGGGCCGTCTGGCCACCGACGAGCAGATGGCCGCCGCCGCCGCCGCCGCCGCCCCCGTTGGTCAGGCAGTGCATCGTCGAGGCCGTCAGTCGGGCCGGGAAGCCTCGGCCGGTCGCGTAGACGCCCGCCTCGCCCGTCTCCCGGCCCACCAGGCCGAGGTCGTAGGGCAGGCTGTGTAGCAGCGGGCCGCCCCCCACCGCCCGCAGTCCGTCTGGCCGTCGCGGACTCGGGCCCGTCGGACAAAGGTAGGCGGGCGGAGCAGTCATGGCACGCGTGGCCCGGCAACCGCGGCCGCAACAGACACAGTTGACGGCCAGTTGGTGCCAGATGAGCACAGTCTTCCGATTCGCCCACACCCACATGCCTGAGGTGATGCCAACGACGAGGCTGGAGAAGATGCGCAGCATTGCCGACTCGGGCGACGGGCCCGTCTCCGGCTGGCAACCGGGCTGTTGCCAGGCCAGGCCTCGAGGCGACAGGCAGTCTGGCCGGCTGGCCTGGAGACGCCGCAAGGCCGAGTGCCAAGCGGGACGGTTCAAGTACTCGTAAAGGTTGCCGGCGAGCAGGCAGAAGACGGGCACT